AGGAAATTAAACTAAGTACAAAAATCTCTCCTCACTTTAAAAGTTGGCAACATGACATCATATCACACATTTAAAGAAAATGTTCCCAAATAAGGGAGTTTTGTTAGCCCTATTAAATGGTGTAGCCTAAATATATCTACATTGTGCAAAGCACATTGGAAAACAATCAGTTGCTTAAGGTTGAGATGACATTACCTGAGCTATTTCTTCTGGAGTTGTGACTGGCTTGGACAATTTCTTCAATTCATTAATTACAGCCTCCACAGCAAGCATCACACCTGAAAAGCGAACAGAAAAGTATGCGTTTGACTTATCCACAGACCTAACAGTAAATAGGTATTTAAGAGATACACACTCCAAAGGCTACGGAAAAGCTACTAATTATACCAGCAATTAGGGATAATCACATTCAACACTTAACAACAGAACAACCTCCCAGGGTCTTACGTTTTTGTTATGCAAGCATTCACTTTGAGAGGTGGCTGAGGCATTCACACACCAGCACATCATTTTTTCATCTCTCACACACTATTTTGTTTTAGGTAAAAAGACACCAGCCTAATACTAAGATGAACGCATTCAAGACTCTATTATGCCTCAGAAGGCATAACATGAGGAAGCTGAGGTAAACTGCTCTATTTTGCACTTCCACACCCAACATTATGCAGCACTGTGAAGGGAAAATGGACATAGCGATTTCAGACAGCTGTATGGGAGGGGGGGTTAGAAATAGGGCTACATTAGAAATTGAGAAATTTAAATTAGAGCCACATGCACTGTATAACCAACATGTAAACATCTGGTCTTTTTATGACTCCAAAATAACTGGCCACAGTTTAGATTACAATCCACACAAAGGGGCAATATATTGACCACTTTATCAGATTAACATCGTGCACAGATATCATATGTCTTACTTTTCCTTTGTAATTATGGAAAAATGCCAAAAATAGTTTGCTGGCCCATTTGAAAGTACTTAGGAAAATTAGTTCTGAGTAAGCTTGAATACATCCCCAATTACCGAACTCACATCAGGATGAAATTTAGTATTACCTCTTCTAATTTCCACTGGATTTGCTCCTTTACTGATCTTTTCAAACCCTTCCTTGGCAATTGAACGTGCCAGTACTGTTGCAGTAGTCGTACCATCTCCTGCTTCTTCATTGGTGTTGTTGGCAACATCCTGAACTAGCTTTGCTCCAATGTTTTTGTACTTATCCTTCAAATCAATTGCCTTGGCTACTGTCACACCATCTTTTGTCACCTTAGGACTTCCCCAGCTCTGTTCAATAATTACTGTTCTCCCCTGAAATAAAACATATAAAGTTAAAACATTGTCCTGCAGAGCTTATATAAATTTAGGTTCCATTCGGATCTCTTAATGACTAGAAATTATTTTTACGACATTTGTTAAAAGCCTATAAATCATGCCAGAAATGCACCATAATTATGTATGTTATTCTAGAATATGGACATGAATAAACATATCTGGAGCTCCCAAGTGAACAAGAGTTGGAAACATGCAAGCAGTGCCAATGTGTACCTTCAGTACCAATGCATGCTTCTCCACAGGTTAGAAACATATACATGAAAGCACATATACTGAGATAAAGTTATGCACAAACAGGGTTATATATTTGCAAAAACAGTAGACAAAAACCAACATGCATACAAAAGGAGAAATGCCCAAGAAAATATGCAACAATACAATCATGTTATTGAGTAAGTTTGCATTTGTTTAAAAGAGAATTCTTATTGAAAATTAAAAAGATAAATGTTGCCCATCCCTAATTAGAAATCAAATCATACTTCTTGAATCCAAGTTTACAATACTGTTTAACAACTCAAAACATGACATTTTAAATCCAAGAAAATTAGGATTCCAATTATGTGGCTGTTCACAAAAATGGTAGAACACAGAATGCAAAATACATGTTACTGTCCCTAGAATTGTATATTTCGGCTCACTATTGATATTATACTCTACCTACATTAGACTATGGCAACTTTCACTGACCTCACACTTGGCTAAAAATTCAGAAAATGCACTAGTTTTCTAAGCTCAGCTGATTAATGTGATGTCAAGAGTGCTCACCTTTATAGGCTTCAGAGAAGGCTGCATATGCTTGCTTGGCAGCATATTCTAATATGCCACAGGGAAGTAAATTTCAAAACTTTTTAGAAAAATGTTCTTATTAGAATTTAATTGGCACAGTCAAAATTAAATATGTTTAAGTCCAATAATTTCCACATAATGCATTTAAATACATTTTATTTTCCCACTGAAATTAAATAGAATATTACTTCAGATGAATCAAGCCACTTTGGATTTTGCTCATCCTCATCTCAAGACATTTCACAAGCAAATACCCACATAATGCCAGGTAGAGTTATTCCAATACCTTTGGTCCCATAGTGACAGCTACAGCATCAGCTAGAAGATCCACCCCCTGCAACATAAGAGCTCTCGCATCTGCTCCAAATTTCACATCTTTTGCATAGGCTCTTGTAAGGTGCGGGGCCAGGGCTCTGGATACTGGCCTTAGCTGACGTAGCACTGATGATAAACGCAGCATTTCTATAAAGCAAAAATAGAAAAATGCAATTCAGTGTCAACACATTCAAGAGTGGAAACAGATCATAACCTTGCCTATCATATTCCAGAACAATCTTTCCTAAACTGGTATCTGAAAGATATACTGGGCCAAAAGTCCCTGAATTCCCAAATAGTCTGACACAGGTTAGAAAAAAGAGTTGCACAATACGGTTAGTCTATGAGCTCTGTGACTATTGCTACAATTCATCAAAATATTACTTTTTTTTTTAATGGCAAAGAAATTATAGAACATGTATAGCTAGTGTGATCAACCACAACAGTAGAGCTACCTATGCCAAATTCAACTTGAATGATTCAACTAGCAGGCCACTTCCAAGAAAAGCAGGTTAAATGTTGGCTCACAACTTTTTAAAGGAGCTTTGAAAATGTACTGCATTGTCAACCAGGGAGATAGGAATATGGATTCAGGTGTTCAATTTCAACAAATCTAACAAAAGATGTTTTGTACCAGCACAGAGTCACTATTAATAATGTGTGTGTCCTTCTGTGCTCACTCATGTACAAGCCAAGTTCTGTGCTCAGAAGTGGGCAGCTGCAGTTCAATTCTTTCTTTGCTTTCTATTATATGAATACTTTGTGTTTGGCAATGCCAACAACCATTTTGTGAGAGTGCTCATAAAGGTTCCTCAAAATTCCAAGTCTCTCCATTGCTACAAAAAGGTTGATAATCTGCTTTAGGCTGTAATAATATATAGTAGTCACATCCTATCAGAATTGTTTTTTAAATTTTTAAATACATGCACCCCCCCATCTCATCTTGGAGCAAAGTGCCCTGTAAATCAGGCTTAAGATGGTATCTATGGGTTGCTATCAGCTTAAGTGGACATCAAAGCATGAAAGGCAGGCAAGTTGCTCAGCTACTATCGTTAGAAAGAATGCAAGGGGAGAAACGGAAAAAAAGGGGCGAGGAAAGGAAGAGAGTAAAGTCTACTGAATAAGCCAAGCGTATCTTTTAGCCCTCACACGTGCTTCATTCATCGCCAGGTCGGAACACAAGGTCAAAAGACCAGCAGCTCCCCCTAGGACGCAGACAGCGGCACTACAACGAATCAAACTTGCAGCTCCCCAATCTCCTTCCCTAAACGCGTGAGGCGCTTGAAGACTCCCTTTACCTTCCGGGGGGGGGGTCAAGGGCCAACCATCGCCATCCCCGGCCGCTAACTTTATCAGCGACGCCTCAGGTGGGCTGGGCTGGACGAGCCCCCGAGATCCACCAGCCTGGCGTCCTCCAGCTGCGTTGGACTACCACCCCGCGCGGCTCCGCTGGGCGCTGTAACCCAAGCCCACCGCAGGGTTGTCCGAACACCGCTGGGGGACGCTAGGTCTGCCGGGGAAAGGCCAAGGCCGCGGCGCCCTAAGGCGCTGGTGGGGCTGCTCGGGGCTTGGATCTCCGCCTTGACTGCCCGCAAACCAACCAACAATTCACCGGGAGGGAGACTACCACGCTGTGAACCCCGATCAGCCTAGCCCGCGATCTAGCGCCTCGTCCGCTGGTCCCGCGGCCTTTGAGCTGCTGGAATCACCTTCTCCGGACCCCAGCCTTTTCCAACCCGGCGCCATCCGGGTGCTTTGGACTACAAATCCCATCTTCCCAAAGCTCGCGGGGGCGAGAGGGGCTACAGTGAAGCGCATCCGCAGGATGGTCACAGGCTGGCGTTGGGCCATCCCCCCAAACAGGAGGCGAACACGTGAAGGAAGCACTGATTCTCGCGCTCCTGCCTTGGGTGGCCCCTCATTCTCCTGCAGGCCACCAGATCTCCTGGATCCAGGGCCCCACTTTACCTGTGGCGGGCGCGGGCAAAGGGCGGTACCGCAGCACGAACAAGGTGGCTCCTCGGACCACTCGCAGGGGCTGGAAGCACTGCCCCACCTCCTTCCCCACGTGAAAGGTTGGCGCGGAAGGACGCCCTGGAACGAGTGTAGCGGCAACGCTGCTGGGCCCGCCCACTGCCCGCGCCCCGCCCTTTTTGCCTTACTTCAGGCAGGCCTCGCGAGGGAGAGATCGGGAAGGGGTGGAGCTTCTAGAAGCCTCTCTGCGAACGGGCGCCTGCGTTGATTGGTCCATTCCGCCGAAGGCCTCATTACCTATGATTATACAGGTTCCCGGGCTCCGTACTTCCAGAATTTTCTGGAATGCCCATGCTCACCAAAGGTCGTGCAAAGGGTTTCGTCACTTCCGGGCATCTCTTGCCTTGTTCGGATGACAGGCCCTGAATTCAGGGAGAGAAAGGCACGTGAATCAAATAGTTTAAATAGTTTTGAAATGGGATTGATAGGAAGAGAGGAGAAAGTTAAAAGCAATGTTTGAAAGGAAATCTGACCAGTTCCCCCATCTAAGGGCACAGGAAGCAGTTTTCCTCTCGAGTGGGTGTGGCTGGCGCATGCGCAGTCCTTGACCCTTTCACGTGTGGGTTACCCGCGAGAGCAGGGGGAGCGTGCGCCGGGGCTGCGGCAGGAACCCCAGAAAGGAAAGGCTTGGAAGCACCCACCATGGTGAGTGAGTGGCGGGCTTCTGCCGTCCAAACCTTTGTCTCCCGTAGAGCAGAAAGCGGGGATTAACCATCGCGCTTCATTCGTTTGATTTCTATTGACGTCTGGCGCGTCTCTTCTTTTTCTTTGGGAAAGTGGAAGGAGCGAGCTTGAGAACCTTTCGGCATCCATGATGTAGGTCTCCATGAGCTCCGCCCAGTCTTTTGTCCACTGTGATTTCAGTAGACTTCTACCTAAGGGTAGAGGACACCGAAAGGTTATTGTATTCCTGCCCTGTGGGTTCTTCAGAATCCTTTAGCTGGATAGCAATAATGCCGGAATCGGAAGACTTTGAGTCCGAAATATCTGGGAGGTGGTATGGAGGAAAAATTTTACACGTGTCTTCGTCTGTCTTCCTCTGTTGTCTGAAAAAGTGAGACTCTTTCAGTGAATCATGTTCTTGCTTGTGACTAAAACCTTTAATCGTAATAGTATTCGCTATAATTATATCTATAACTGAGGGTTAGCAGGGAGAAGTGGGATGCTACTTCAGTACTAACGAAGGAGTTACGCGTAAGTTTATTTTGAGTGTAAGGACATTACTATGCACTATACTGTGAGACTCTAATTACTCATTCAAAAGTAAGTCTGGTTGTTTTTCCTCGTTTAATTTTTTTGCGAAAATTAAGGCATTCTTTTAAAAGGTGTATTCTGGTTACACTGGATTTAAAAATATGTATGTTTGCATTGTGCATCTGCAGCCAATTCCTGTAGAAATGAATCCCACTGAATTCAGGGGGACATTGCCAGGAAAATGAGTGTATAGTTGTAATTACCGTGAAATTTTGGAATGCAAAGTTGTGTAAGAGGGTTTCTTGTATGAGATTTCTCTGTTATGCAGAGCCAGTTCCCATGCTTTGTAAAGGAAAGCCATAGTAGTTACACCCACTTAAAGACACAGATTACATAGAGAATGGGGGGGGGGGGGGGG